CGGGCGAGAGAGCCGAGGGCCGTGGGCTCCCAGTGCTCCGTGACCCAGCAGGTCCACGTTCTCACCCGCACGTCATCGCTGCCTCTGCAGCGCCCTGCCAGGCCACCCCCTCCCCACGCCCGTCCGTCCAGCTTCCAGACCTGCAGTCACACCTCCTTGCTGACCCCTGGTCTCTGTGCCCGCCCTGGTCCTGGTGACACTGCTCAGTCCCTGTCTGACTCCTCCACGACCTCCCAGCATGCACTGTGGCCCCTCAAGCTTTCCCCTTGCACCTGGCTCCACCCCAGGTTGTCCTCCACCAGCAGCCAACATGGTCTTTCTTTTTGAATATATTTTATTGATTTCAGAGAGGAAGGGAGAGGGAGAGATAGAAACATCAATGAGAGAGACACATCCATCAGCTGCCTCCTGCATGCCTCCGACTGGGAATGAAGCCGCAACCTGGGCATGTGCTCTGACCGGGAATCAAATCCTGACCTCCTGGTTTATAGGTCGATGCTCAACCACAGAGCCACGCTAGCTGGGCCCGCGTTTATTCTCCATCAAATACTCATTGAGCACCTACGACAGAGCGTCCCCCTCCGCCCCCCGAGCCCGTGGAATAAAGTGACACCTTGCATCTTATGAACTTCAAAGCAGCACTCAGCATCCCCGTCCGTGACAGCCACGGGTCCCAAACCACGGCGGCATTGCCCGTACCCATGACCTTTGTCGCCAACGGGAACCCCAGTGCTTTCGCAGCATTCTTCAGTTGCTGCAGATGTTGTAAAACAGCACTTACCCTCACCGTTACCTTGAAATGCAGTTATTACAGTAGTTATTACACCCATATTGAATTTCATTGCTTAATGTATTAATATAGAAGCACATACATTATTACACCACATGTTTTAAATATATCGATAACTATTCAATTATATTTCAATATACTCGGCTTCCTTTATAATCTTATACACTTCAGTTTACGCATTTAGAGACATTATGCTGAGAAAGTTGCCAGATGGCGAGGAGGCCATGAGTCCCCGTCAGCCTTCTCTGGATCTGGGTCTCTGACAAGGACTGAGACCGAAGGAATCCCGGCTCACAGAGAGCACGCCAGGGGGTGAGACAGCACGGGCACGAATCATGCAGTGACATGACTACCCACCGTGACAACTACCTCCGAGAAAACAGGGCAGGTGGAGGGCACAGAATGACTGGGGGGGGGGGTGCACTGTTTGGATAGTACAGTTGAGGAAGTCTCTCAGAGAGCAGGGTGTGTGAGCAGAGACCTGAATGATAAAACATGAGCCGTAGAAAAACGTGGGGATGAGATAATTGGGCAGAGGTTACAGCAAATGCAAAGGCCCTGAGCTGGGCCTGAGGGGGGCGTGGCTGTGTGACCATGGGCAGGACGAGATGGAGAAGGGGGCGGAGGTGGAGAAGGGAATGGAGATGGAGAAGGAGATGGAGATGGAGAAGGGAATGGAGATGGAGAAGGAGATGGAGATGGAGAAGGGGGTGGAGATG